GAGTTTTGGGCAGTGTGGAGTAGCACTTGTTGTTTGTCATTTCTCCGATCACAAATGCAGACATGGTTTTATGTTTACGCGGCGCGATGCAACGCATAAAAAGACAGTATAAGTCATTATAATCAGTAATTATGTCCCCACTGGATGCAACAAATGCCTCGTTTGTAATGGGTTTTCATGTTTTTGTCTCGTCGCTCCAGCCTGACACGGCATCAACAGTATGTGAGGGGCGTAACATTTCCGTCTCACACTTGAGGTATTCGGCCAATCACAACGCATTGGATAGCTGGCCAATCAGAGCACACCTCGCTTTTTCAGACCAATGAGCTTTGTAAAAATCGACGCGTTTCAAAAAGGCGGGGCATAGAGGAGAAACAATAATGTATAGTATGTGGAAAATAATGTGTTTTTTTTAACTTTAAACCGCATAAACACATTTCATTACACCAAATACACAAAATAATGTTCTTTTTAGCAGCATCATATGACCCCTTTAAAGAAACTGAAAGACATTTTACAAGCATTAAGAGTTTTTGCATTGCAAAATATTTTACTGTAATGTATAGTAGAACCTGTTTCTGCTACAAAATAAAAAAAAATAGTAAGGTAATCCCAAACTTTTGAATGGCAGTGTATATAGGCCAGCCTGATCAATCAGAAATATTGGCTGATAATGGCGCAGAATCTTTAGCTCTTACATGAGTCAGTTTGAAAGTCTAGAGACTGTTTTGTTACGGAATAATGAAATGCTTTCAGTGTTTTTGAGTAAATATTGTGTATAACATCCATAACTTGTGCACACACTCATTGGCCATTAAAATCATGGTATTACCATGGTGTTCGCCCAAATGCCATGTTAATTTAATGGCACAGTTGGTATGTTTTTGTGAGTAAAGCCAGTCAAACACACTGATCTGATGTGCTCTCATGTCCAGTTCTCTCACAGAATAAAGCGTCTCAGTTCCTCCTACGACATAGACGTGCAAACACCCTGTTTGAGGAGAGCAAGAAAGGAAACCTGGAGCGCGAATGCATCGAGGAGCTGTGCAATAAAGAGGAGGCACGAGAAATATTTGAGAACAATCTAGAAACGGTGAGTTCTGTCAGCCAATCGATGCTCTGATGTTTGTGTTGTGAACCGTCATGCTGTTGACATTGACATTGACCTGTCAGCCGTGTGCGTGCGTTCAGTCATGAGATCGTTTGTGCTGATAGTGAGGTTTGTGAACTGGAAATGAATCACTGAACTGCTTTATGATGTGTGTGAATAATCTCATCATGACATGTTTTTTTTAATCTTCCAGGAATATTTCTATCCCAAGTATGTTGGTAAGTCGTCATCAATATTTTTGTGCAAATAAACACTTACTGTAACCCACAGCATGTACAGTGGGTCTGAGTGATGTGTGATGTCAGCTCACACTTCAGTGACCGTCACACTGGAATCTGATTGCAAAACTCACTCTGACTGAAGCTGCTTTGACTCAGTCAGTCTATTTGTCCCAATTTTAAAAGTACTTATTATAAAAGTACAAAAACTTAAGGAAAGACACTACAGGTTAATAGGGTAAAACGTTAACTAATATATATCATCATAGCTCCCCAGTTGATTAATCACAATACATTAAGAGAATTGTTCCGTATTGCAAGTTTTCTGAAATGTTCTGTATAAGTATGCATATAAACAAGGTTTTATCTAATTAAACATGCACTAATTTGCATACATTTCCAGAACATAAATCTGAACATTGGATAAAGCCAGGTTCATAACTTTTTTGGATTTTGCTGACATATTAGAGTAAAACAAATTTCAGATGGGATTTTGGATTTGTTTTTATCACTCCATAAATCAGAAAATAGTCAACAAATACATTTTCACCATATTTTAGGGATAAAATGTTGTATAAATGTGTGAATGATATATGAACAAACCCCTCAGTAAAAGCCTTCAGAGTATAGAGAGGAATAAAACGGAAAAGTTTGGTGTATGTAAGAGAAAAAAACTCTTTAAAGATATGGATTGGAACTGAAATCTACAGATGCAAATAGATAAAGTGCAATAAAAGAAACACTTAAATTTGTATTTTAGATTTTGGAAGTTTTGGATCTCAAAATTGAGAACAGATAAAATATTAAATATAAAAATATAAAATCTGAAATGAATAGATAACATGCAAACAGCTAAAGTGTCAAAATGATATTAAATGTAATTTAAAAAAAATGGTTAGCTTGTCAGGGTTTAGCTGGCCGTTTGTAGTTATTTAATTTAGATAATTTTTTTACTGTGTGATAAATACCAAGTTATGTCATAAAACTCTAGATGTCGCAGACTGATGGGTCCGTAACGTAATTGATGATATTCTTAGCATTAAACGACTTGTCACAAGCTGATTGGTTCATGTTGCCTACGCAGCCAATGAGCTTGCTGCTTTACATTTAAATAGCTGATTAGCATTCGCTTGAGCATTGCAACGTGCTTTCAGAGTTCCTCTGAAACCCTCCACCTTCCCCAGCTCCACCTGTATAGATCTGCTATTGGTTATTTTATATGCTATTTGTGCAGCAGCAGTATGTCTTAAATACTCACAGCACCGTATCGGCTTATGTATTGGCAGTAGCAAGTTCCTGTACTTTCTTGCAGCAACAATAATCTACAAATACAGCAATAACCAACAGCAGCAGCAATTCAGCAGCAGCGTAGCAGATCTATTCGACCAAGACCAAATACATTAACATTGTCATATCCATTTCCATGCTAAAATCTTCCGAGAGTCCGCATGATAGAAATACAGCCAACATTACAATAAGATTGAGAAGTTGCTGTAGAAACTGTGCTGTAAAATATGCTAGTTTGTGGGAGTTTTTTTTTTTTTTTTTACACATTTATGAGTCTGTATTCATAGTTAGGTCGAATATATTGTTACACATTCCTAAACTGATCAGTTTTTTTTTTAAAGAAGCAATTGTAATTGATTGAAAATTGTATTTATGACATGTTGTGTGACGTAGCAATGCATCATTAGATGGACTGAAGTGTGTGTGTCATGTCGTGTATGTGTTGTATCTTGTTGTTTTCTCTGTAGTGTGTCTGGGATCTCACCGCGTCGGGATCAATAATCCAAACTCTGAGCCTGGAATCCCTCAGAACCTCCGTACCTGTGTTCAAGGTGATCCAGCACTAGTACTGTTATCTAGTCTGAGACAGTGTTGTGTCTGTGTTGATTGTGAGTTTGAGTTGTTTGTTGTGTTTCAGAGATCAGTAACCAGTGTCTGCCGCTGCCGTGTCATAAGGACGGTTATGAACGCTGTGTGGACGGTCAGGGCTCCTTCACGTGTGTTTGTAAAGCTGGATGGAGGGGTCAGCGCTGTGAGCAGGGTGAGCTAAGATTCATCATACTGACCACAAAACGTTTTCATGTTCATTACACTGCACTGAGACTTCACAAAACTAATGATGAGCCTAGACAACAGAGAGAGGATTAAATTAAGCTGTTTTATTTCCAACATGCACTCATTCAAGGGTGTTTTAATTCATGTAAAGTTATGTTTTTGGGACATGACTTGATGAATTGCATGACCATGTGAGTTTGTCTCTATTTCCTAGCAACTACATATTAGGAATGTAACGGTATGAACATTTCTTATCACGATTATAGTGACCAAAATTATCACAGTTATCAGTATTATCACGGTATTGTTCAAATGTGCTGGAGATGTTCAAAAAGTACCGACACATAAATCACTTCAAGTTGTATATTTAAAAATCAACAAACAACAAATAAAATGACTTTTTGTTTGCATAATCACTAAAACAATAACATTACCAATGATGTTCGGATTTTAAATGACAACAGTTTAATAGCATGTTGAAATATCTAATGTAAATGTTCAAATAAAGCTTTGAAAAAGTTTAATAAAAAGGTAAACCTCACATTTCAGCCTTTAAATAAAGAAAAGATATGTCAAAATGATAATTGATTAATAAATGATTATATGTATTTTATCTGCTCCATAAATAATTCTAGATAACTTATCTGAATTGTTTAAATGTGTAGAATCCACATAAGCTTGTTTTTCATCAACCGATCAAAATTTACAGCAGGTCATGCAAATTCGGTCCGTTTATGGCCAGACAGAAACTGCTCACAGGCTGAATGTAAATAAATATAAGTCTCTGTAAATCCACTCACTGACAGCAGGTGGCGCTGATGGAAAAGCTGAATTAGAGCTGTTTCCCATAACCTCCGTGGACAAAGCAGTATTGTGATTAAGAACACTTCCTTTAGGTATTACATGGAGCGAAGATGAAAACAAAATGCCATCGAATCGTTTCTGAAGTCAGTCAGAACCTTCAGAGGTACATTCATATAATTAATTCATTCATATATTCATTTGTATAATTCCCTTAGCACTCTTTTAAAACCTCCCAGCTTTTCCGCCCTGTTTTCACTCAAGACGAAACTACTCTGCTGCTGTGTGCAAGTGAGACTGTTACTGAAAACTGTGCTTTATGCTGGACAGTATTTATTTATCGCGAGTTGTTCAAATCACGGTAATCTAATACGGTTTTAATGATAATTAAAAGATGAAACGGTAATGCTATCCGTGGGGAATTTTATCATGATTTATCGTCCAACCGGTAATCGTTACATCCCTACTACATATCAAATATTTATGTACCATTTGTGTATTAATGGCTGTTATGATAAATAAAGTGTATAAATTAAAGCAAAGCAAGTTAAAGGGATAGTTCACCCAAAAATGAAAATTTGATGTTTATCTGCTTACCCCCAGGGCATCCAAGATGTAGGTGACTTTGTTTCTTCAATAGAAACACAAACGAAGATTTTTAACTCAAACCGTTGCAGTCTGACAGTCTTATAATGGAAGTGAATGAGAATCACGGCTTTGAGAGTAAAAAAAAAACATACACAAACAAAAGCAAATTAAACCCTGCGGCTCGTGATGATACATTGATGTGTAAAGACACGAAACGATCGGTCTGTGCAAGAAACTGAACAGTATTTATATCATTTTTAACTTTTGATGCACAGCAATGTCTGAACTGTCCTGAGCACGTCCTCGACAGCCGACGCGTCCTTCTTCTTCTTCTTCTTCTTCTTCTTCTTCTTCTTCTTCTTCGCAGTGGTATAACAGTGCATTACCGCCGCCTACTGTTAACTAAACACAGACCACTGTGAACTCAATACACACAGAAACGCAGATGCCTTTATTTGTGTATATATAATAATAATAAATAATGGACCATCGACACTCCTAATTGAGATTGTAGATAGTGTCAATGGTCCACTTGAGAGATAGGTGGCAGTAATGCACTTATAAGTCTGCGATCCGCCGTAAAGCAAGAAGAAGACGCGTCACGCGCCAGCTGTCGAGGACGCGCTCAGGACAGTTCAGACATTACAGTGCATTAGAGGTAAATAACGATATAAATACTGTTCAGTTTCTTGCACAGACCGATCGTTATGTGTCTTTACACATCAATGTATCGTCACAAGCTTTGGTTTTGTTTGTGTATGTTTGTTTTTACTTTCAAAGCCGTGATTATCATTCACTTCCATTATAAGACTGACAGACTGCAACGGTTTGTGTTAAAAATCTTCGTTTGTGTTCTACTGAAGAAACAAAGTCACCTACATCTTGGATACCCTGGGGGTAAGCAGATAAACATCAAATTTTCATTTTTGGGTGAACTATCCCTTTAAGTATACCTGTGAACACAGTTGTTGAATCGTTTGCTCTCAGACGCAGTGCCGTAATGGTGGTCTTGTGTGCAATTCTTAAAACAAGCACAAGATGGTAGACAGTATATCAGGTATTACAAAATTGATATCTGATTATTGAAAAATGCTAAAATATCAGGAAAAATATTGGGAAAAGTGATCATCAGTCGATCTCTCTCTAAGTGTGAAACTGAACTTTCTTTAATCCTTTCTTTAAACTTTCTTTAAGTATTTAATATTTAATGAAGTGAGTGATTTTTAGTTTACAATAAAATTTACAATATATATTTTTTTCATTTACAATAACACTGTTGCAAATTAAATACAGTAGTATTGTACAATTATGTTTGAATATATAACAGTATTAGTTATTTTAATAAGTTAAACTAAATGAAAATTTGAAATGTTGCTTTGGAAACTAGTTGAAACAAAGTTTTTTCATATTTTATTTCATTTCAGGTAATGTTTATTTTTATTTTAAGTTTTCTTTGTTTCAGTTTTTGTTTACTATAATAACCCAGATATATCATCATTTTGCTAAGGAATCCATGAACTGATCAAATTTAAACCTTAAATGCTGTGTAAATCGTTTGAATAAAAGCGTCTGCCAACTGCATAAATGTAAATAATGCATTTACAAGCAAAGGTTACAGCGCCACCTAGCTCAGAAGTTAGTACTAGTGGTGAACAGACTATCTGTCTGCAGCTTTATTGGTATTTATTTTATTGACTCCATTTGTTCACAGATATTAATGAGTGTGAAGACCCAGAATTCCCTGCGGGCTGCAGCCAAACGTGTTACAACCTCCCCGGCAGCTTCATGTGCAGCTGTGAGAAGGGCTTCTACACCCTTGACAACATCCTCTGCAATGGTGAGAGTCACTGCACAGGTCAGAGGTCAGCGTTGTATTTCTGATCCTCTGGCTTCACCTCTGCCAGTCGAGTTTGATCTCCAGCAGCTGTTCCAGGAATCCTGGGATTTTCCTGTAAAAGCGAAACATGATTCTCTCCAGCTGTGAGGTCCAACGTTCATATTAAAACCACATCCACACACACACAGCGTCTTAAAGGTTCATTATGTAACCGTGTTTTTAAGCTTATAAATCATCAGATGCTGTTTCACTGCCTGTGCCTGTGACTTTATCAACAGGATCATATAATTGTGTGGTTTGTACAACTAGGTACACATGAGTTACATGCGCTCGTTCTGACTCTTTTCCTCATGTTAGAATAACAGTGCAGTGATGAAAGCACACCAGTGGAATTCTGGGAATGATGAAAACACAAATGCAAATCTTTGACTAGATTGCAGATCCGTTCTTCATGAGATGCATTCTGGGATGCTGGTGAAGGAGGAACGTGTGATGAGCGATTCATGATGCTTTTCGGCTACTATCTGGTGCAAGTCAAACTCATTTTGAGCATTGAAGCAGAAGCATTTAGATCAGATGGTTTTTTAGGTCATGAGGAGCATGATTCAGTGTGTTCAATTGTGATGCTGTAGATTCATTCACTGTGTTCAGACTTTTTTGCTATTGCGAGTGTGTGATGTGTTTGACCTGATGCTCATGGGGTTTATTATCATTAACTAAAACTTATATCATATCATATCATATTAAATCATAAAAAACATTTTTGTTACTGGAAATATCAAATTAATTTAATATATGAATTAAAAATAAGTATAAATTTATGTATTTATATTTAATATAAATACAACATTTCTCTTTTTCATTCAGTTAAATGTAATTGATCAAATAACTAAAGCTAAATAAACTAAAACTTCAATCAAAACTAATAATTACTATATAGACAGGGACTTAAAAGGACCCAATAAAAATGACCAAAAACACAAAAGAAAATTAATGAAACTTTAACTAAACATTTAAAGCAGAATGTATATATATATATATTTTTTTTTTTTATCTAAATACGAAAAAAGTATATGAGTGATACTAAAATAACACTAATGCTGATGTTTGTATATTGCTGTGTGTTTATGGATCTGATTGTGTGTGTGTGTGTGTGTGTGTGTGTCTGTCGTTGCAGATATCAATGAGTGTATCCTGTATCCCAGTGTGTGTGTGGAACCTTCTAAATGTGTCAATGCTCCGGGAACGTTTGAGTGCCGCTGCCCTTCGGGATACCAGTACAACATGAGCTCACGCAAATGTGTCGGTGAGTATTAAAATGCTGATAAAGACAAGAAAAGATTAGATATAAACACATGACAGTATGGCTGAAATGTTAAGTGTTAAAAAATCTCTTTTGTTGATTTTGATTGCTTCCATTGTCCTCATTTGTAAGTCGCTTCGGATAAAAGCGTCTGCTAAATGTCTAAATGTAAATGTAAAAAAATTCAATAAAACGCGTTTATTCTGTGGCACCTAAAAAAATTGTTTGGCGCCTAATGTTTTTTCTTATAGGAGCCAGTGGCTCCTTAGTTGACTTTTTTTGTCTGGAGCCCTGCCTCAAACATCAAAAATTACTGACTTGCAACGATCTACATCACAGTTCATTACAGTAGAGACTGACTTAAGTTAAAGGAATAGTTCACTCAAAAATGAAAATCTCCTGGAAATATCCTCACCCTCAGGCCATCCAAGATGTAGATGAGTTTGTTTCTTCATCAGGTTTGGAGAAATGAAGCATTAGATCACTTGCTCACCAATGAAACCATTGGTGAGCAATTGATGGAATGCCTTTTGGTTGAACTATTCATTTAATCTAATATGATTGTGTGTTTTTGTCAGATCTGGATGAGTGTGAGCAGGATGTGTGTGATGGCGAGTGCGTGAACACTATCGGGAGTTTCTCGTGTCACTGTGACGGGCGTAAAGGTGTGAAGCTGGCGGAGGACAGCCGTCAGTGTGAGAAGATCCCCAAGTGTTTGGATCTGTATGACTACAAGCATGAGCAGATGCTGTATCTGGGAGAGCAGTTCTCCGGTTTACCTGTCATATACCTGCGCTTCCGTCTGCAGGCCGACACCAAGTATGACTATCACAGTTATTATGTTTCTGAGGAATGCTGGGATAGAAGCTGTAACTAAACACTAGCAGTTTTCCCATTCAGACAGTGTAGGTGTGTCTTATTGTTCTGTTAGTGAAGAATGTTCCTGATAAGTGGGGAAGTCATGGCCTAATGGTTAGAGAGTTGGACTCGTAACCCAAAGGTTGCGGGTTCGAGTCTCGTACCAGCAGGGATTGTAGGTGGGGGGAGTGAATGTACAGCGCTCTCTCCCACCTTCAATACCACGACTGAGGTGCCCTTGAGCAAGGCACCGAACCCCCAACTGCTCCCCGGGCGCCGCAGCATAAATGGCTGCCCACTGCTCCGGGTGTGTGTTCACGGTGTGTGTGTGTTCACTGCTGTGTGTGTGCACTTAGGATGGGTTAAATGCAGAGCACTAATTCCTAGTATGGGTCACCATACTTGGCCACATGTCACGTCACTTTTTTATAAAGTGCAGCTGATAGAATATTTCGTTTTACCTCCTGAATGGATGAACATCATTTTCTGAAGGTTCATCTGATATATTCCAGAAAAGTCTGCTAATTTCAATTTAAATGTGTTGTTTGTTCAGTAGATGAGAAACCAATCCTTTGTGAGTGTTTCCGTGTTGACACTGCTAACTCAATTAAATTAAA